AGTCAGACACAACAGAGTGACTGAACTGATCAACATGTAGAATACAAAATATAAACTATTCATATATGTCCTGGAGGAAATTATAACACAGAAGATGATAAAAATGCTTTTGGGGTACTTCAAAAAGGAATTTGGCAAGAATATAAGCTTTAGCATAATTTGTTCATGTAACCAAAATGTTCACCATCTTTAAAAGACAGTAGATTTAAACATCTCAGCTAACAGATGCAAAATTGTGGTTACTGTTTTCGGACAAGTTTAGGTTATGGTATCATGATTTTTCTTGGGCCAAAACAATACAAACAAAGCTTAATTTAAAAAATTTTAAAATGACATGGTATCCTAACATCAGATTTTGTTGTTGTTGTTCAGTGTTTAAGTCATGTCCCACTCTTTGTGACCCCATAGACTGACACACCAGGCTTCCCTGTGCTTCACCATCTTCTGGAGTTTGCTCAAACTCATGTCCATTGAGTTGGTGATGCTATCCAAGAATCTCATCCTCTGTTGTCCCCTTTAGTCACAATAATAATAACTCCACTCTGAGAACCTGAGTCTTGATTGCACTGATTTAGGAAATGGTTAATCTTCATAAACAAAATGAGGATGAGAAAACAGTTATAAAATAAAACTGAAAAAGATCAGTTGAAATAAATGGGCAAGATTCAACCTCAAAGCCTCCTTCCAATCTCTCCTTCCCAGTTCACAACACTTTCAGAATATATTGTATCAGATTTGCCTTTTCTTCCTCAAGGTCTGGGAGAGCAAGAAGCAGAGATAGAAATCACAGCCAGAAAAACAAAACAACAACTAACAAGCAACAGCTTCCCTCTGTGACACACTCACAATTCCCAAGTCCCAGGACATTAGAGAGCCAAACAGTTTCAGGTTCTGTGGCCAGGGCCCAAAGAAGTACTTCTGGTGGCCTGAGTTGGAAATTAATTTAATTTTCCCAATGGAATAATTCTATTTCAGCCACATTTCAGGTACCCTGTGAGCTGAATTAGCAATGGCATAATAGTTGGGGACTTCAACCTTTATTATGTAACTTTTTCCCTACAGAAAAACAATTAGTTCCAAAAATTACATCGTTTGGGATTCAGCTTACATTTGCCTGTATAATAAAGCACTGAGTCAAATGCAAGAGACTCACAAAAGAAAAAACAAAAACAAAAACCTCTGACTTGACTGACCATAGACATTCCATTGTTTAATCTGCTAGAAGACAGCAATTACTGAATTATAAACTGTTTGGAATAAAAGGTAACAGTTTAAAAGAGTTTAAGTTCATATAATTGTTGAAATTTTAAAGAACATGATAATATATTTCAGAACATATTTCATCATGGAAATCTTATAATTCTTAACAGGTTTGAAATCTTGTCAGCCATTATCGAACAGAGTAAAGAATAAATACTAGTTACAGAATGTAGAGATAATATGGGTATCATTAGTTTGGGTGTGGACACTTAAAGTCACATCATGAGTCAGAAACAAAATACTTAAATACTTTCAAATACATCAGTCATAAACCAACTTTTAAAAGAAACACTACTAAAAAAAAAGTAATACTACAGTGTTTTTGAAGTGTTTACTTCAAAGTAAAAATAATCAATCTCATAAATTTAGAACAGGAACTCTAAAATAGAGGGAAAAAATTATTTACATCTATGTATACCAGATATTTTATCTCATTTTATATTCACAAATGCCATACCAGATAGGTATTATTTCTCCCTTTTTACAGAGGAACCAAGCTAAAAGTAACAATTTCTCTGGGACTAAAGTGATAGTAAATGGAATAGTAGGGTTATGGTCTGAACCTACATTTGTTTGATTCTAGTAAATGGCTCCTTAGAATTTGAGAAAATATTTGCAAACGAAGTAACATGGGATTAATCTCCTAAATATACAAATAGATCATGCTGCTCAATATAAAAAAATCCAAAAATTCCAATCAAAAAATGGGTAGAAGATCGAAACAGACATTTCTCCAAAGAAAACATCAGATGGCTAAAAGGCATCACTACATCATCACAAATTATAGAGAAATGTAAATCAAAGCTACAATGATGTATCACCTCACACCAGTCAGAATGGCCATCATCAATAAATCTACAAACAATAAACACTGGAGATGGTGTGTGGAGAAAAGGGAATCCTCCTTCATTGTTGGTGAAATGTAATCTGGTACAGCCACTATGGAGAACAGGATGGAAGTTCCTTAAAAAACTAAAAATAAAGCTCCCATATGATCCAGCAATCCCACTCCTGGGCATACCCAGAGAGAACCATGATTCAGAAACACATGCACCTCAATGTTCAGTGCAGCACTATTTACAATCACCAGGATATGGAAGTAACCTAACCATTCACAGACAGAGGAATGGATAAAGAAGATGTGATACATATATACAATACAGTATTACTCCACCATAATAAAGAACGAAACAGAGCCATTTGCCACAACATGGATGGACCTAGAGACTCATACTGAGTGAAGTCAGAGAAAAACAAGAATCACATGATATCACTTACATATGGAATCTAAAAAATTTGGTGCAAAACAGAGAGTCAGAGATACAGAAAACAAACTTACCAATGGGGAAGGGAATGAGGGAGGGATAAATTGAGATACTAGGATTGACATACACATACTACTGTGTATAGAATGCTTCCCTGGTAGCTCAGCTGGTAAAGAATCCACTTACAATGCTGAAGACCCTGGTTCAATTCCTGGTTCAGGAAGACTCCCTAGAGAAGGGAAAGATACGCTACCCATTCCAGGATTCTTGGGCTTCCCGTGTGGCTCATGCAGTAAAGAATCAGCCTGCAACGTGGGAGACCTGGGTTGGGACGATCCCCTGGAGGAGGGCATGGAGACCCACTCCAGTATTCTTGCCTGGAGAATCCCCAAGGACAGAGGAGCCTGGTGGGCTACAGCCCATGGGTCCCAAAGAGTCAGACAGGACTGAGCAACTAAGCTATACACTAACATATATAGAACAGATAACCAACAGGGACCTACTGTATACCACAGGAAACTCTACTCAATACTCTGTGATGCCCTGTATGGGAAAAGAATCTTTAAATAGGTGGATATATATTATCAGTTCAGTTGCTCAGTCGTGTCCGACTCTTTGAGACCTCATGGACTGCAGCACGCCAGGCTTCCCTGTCCATCATCAACTCTCGAAGCCTACTCAAACTCATGACCATCGTGTTGGTGATGCCATCCAACCATGTCATCCTCTGTCATCCCCTTCTCCTGCTTTCAATCTTTCCCAGCATCAGGGTCTTTTCCAATGAGTCTGTTCTTCACATCAGGTGGCCAAAATATTGGAGTTTCAGCTTCAGCATCAGTCCTTCATGTAAAACTGATTCACTTTGCTCTACACCTGAAACTGTCACAACACTGTAAATCAACTATACTCCAGTAAAAATTAAAACAAAAACAAACAAAAATAAAGTCTTTTCTCCTTCCCTTATCATGCCATTTACATGTGAGTTATTTCATACATACAACAAAAACTTGAAATCAATTGTCATGTCTTTTAAAAAGTGAAAAGAACCAACAAAAACAAGCAGAAAAAATGTTTATCTATTTCTTGGTTGATTTAGTTCCACTTATATTCCTACAACTGATCAACAATTATCAATACAGCTATAAAACACATAATGAAGATATTTATGTTACCATCCAACTATTACTGGATGCTCTTTAGAGAATAAAATATACTACAGGAGTGGGTTGTATGAACCTGAGAGAGGAGTAAAATCCCAAAGCTAATAAAAGCCATGAGTTTGAGCAAGCTCTGGGAGTTGGCTGATGGACAGGGAAGCCCCACGTGCTGCAGTCCATGAGGTCGCAGAGTGGGACACGACCGAGCAGCTGAACCGAACTGAATAAAAGCCATATCCTAGAACAGAGGAGGGAATAATTTTAGAAGTTCTGGGTCAAAATCTTTCTGGTCATGGAGTTTCACAAGAATTCTCTGGTGTTTTACAACACAACTGGTCCCCTCTTCTGTTTCTAGATATCTCTTGTCTTCCTCCTCTCCCAAACATTCCCCAGATTCTCCAATAAGTCTTTCACCCACACTGCAGCTAATCAAGTATCTATTCGAAAATTGTTAACGGAATTGAACCGGTAACCTTATCACACTTTGGGGGGGAGGGGGAGAATAACACCATTTTAGAGTTGGGAGGCATTTCATATTGAGTTTAAATCTGTGTGCACAGCCTCTACTATTCTAGTGGGGACAACGGAGACTCGGAGAGAGGAAGTGACCTGGCCACGGACTAGGCGTGAGTTGGCAGCCGGGCCAGAGGTTGAAGTTTCATCTCATACTCCACGCTTTTCCAACCTCACGAAAGTGGGTTGGGCTTTGGGCTGGTACTATCCAGGACGGGTTCAGAAAGAGCAATCAGCAGATCCCAGAACACCTAAAGCCCTGTAGCCCGGGGCTCCTTTCTAGAGTAAAGGCCAGTTTAGTTACCCGTTTAGAGTTCCCCTTCGGGAAGGGGAGGGCTGAAAAAACCGGTCTCTCCTGGAGGCAGTTGTGGGCACACCCCGGCCTCTAACCCAAATCGACGGAGCTACCGCCTCCACCCGCCCCACAACCAGTGGTACACTGACCTTCTACGCGCTCGGGGTCCACGGAAGCGGACACTCCCGGGATCCCTCTCCCGGCCCACTCTCGAGACGAACTTGGACCCCAAAATGTAAGGGAACAGGGGTGCAGAAACAAAGTAACCCCAAGCGATTCCCTTCCTTTCTAGGCGCCCCCGGGGCGGGCGGACATGGACTACCAGTCCCGACATGCAGCGCGCCGGCAGACCCTCGACCACCGCCAAGTCCGCGGTGCATCTGCCGCCGGGACTCGTAGTCCGCGGTTCACGGGGGCGGGGGGGGGGGGGCGGACAGCCGCGCGCGGCGGGACGGGCCCAGCCTGGTGTCCGGTCAAGCCCAGGGAGCCTACCGACTGCCCGGGCCTCACCTCAACGATGCGGGCGCACTGGGTCCCCTTGCCGGCGCCGGGACCGCCGAGAACGAACACGACCTGCGGCCTCATGAAGCGATGCGGGAAAAGGAAAAGTGGCCGGCCGGTGAGCAGCGGAAAGCTAAGGCCTAGGACGTGCAGCAGCCGGCGGCCGCAGCGGCTAAGCATGCACCGCGGCTGGGTCGGACGCTGAGAGAGCTGACAGAGCTGACAGCAGCCGGGCCGGCGTTGGCGCGGGGCGGGGCGCGGAGAAGGGGGCGGGCCGAGCTGGCGCCCGCCGCGGCCCCGCAGCCGTGGCTGCCGAGGCGTCTGCGCTGCGGCCGGAAGGGGCGGGGCTTCCGCTGCTCTTTCGTTGGCCGAGCCCAAGTCCTCCCTGCCCCTCCGAGGGCTCATTCATTCGTTCCGTCGTCCGCGGGTGGTGAGCCAGCTGGTGCAGGGCGTGTGCTGGCGCCTGGGACATGGCCTACGGGAGAGCACAATCCATTGTATCTGCTCACAAGTTTAAATTCCAGAGGGTAGGCACCCGTCCTGAACAAATCAACACGAATAGATAAATGCAAATAGCAATATTGGCTTTGAAGGAACCAAACGGAGGAATAACAAGAGATGAATGTAATTTGGCTGTGGTAGTCAGACTTCTGAAGAGATGATATACAAGCCAAGACGTAAGGATAGGAAAGAGCAAAGCTAGGCAAACACTGAGATAGAGTGTCCCACAAAGAGGAAACAGGGAAGTTTTTGCAAAACCTCTAAGACTTTCATCTGTGAGAGCAGTTGAAAGGCCCATAAGATCAGTTCTGTGTGAAACGAGGGAGGGAATGAAAGGTGGAAGAGTTTGGCTGATGACAGGTCAGTCAGACCCTTTGGTTAAGGAAAGGAGTTTGGATTATATTCTAATTGCAGTGGGAAGTCCTTCTAACTATAACTCCATTTCCCTGCCCTTGCATTAGGAAAAATTTTCGAGAAGAAAGAGTTCAATCAATGAGTCTTAGTGAATAGACCTTTAAATGTTGGAGGGAGGAGGAGGAACCCAAGAAGGCAGAGCCAGAAAGGTAAGAGGAAAACCAGGAGAATCCATTATTCCAGCAAAGAGAGTGTTTGGGGTGGGATTGTGCTGGTGTAGTAGTCAACATTGTGTTAAACACAAATAAGAACAGATAAAACTGCATTTGGCAACAGGGAGACTTACAAAGAGTTCTGCCCAAAGCAAATCATACATGATATCTAATTTTAAGCATGATTGAAAATGGAGTGGATAGGAGATGAGTAAATGAAAATAATAGATAAAATAAGGGTCAAGACAAAGTTTATTTAGGATGGGCGATGAGCCGTGCTGTCTAATATGGTAGCCATGAAATTAAAAGACGCTTACTCCCTAGAAGGAAAGTTATGACCAACCTAGATAGTATATTAAAAAGCAGAGACATTACTTTGCCAACAAAGGTCCGTCTAGTCAAGGCTATGGTTTTTCCAGTGGTCATGTATGGATGTGAGAGTTGGACTGTGAAGAAAGCTAAGCGCCAAAAAATTGATACTTTTGAACTGTGGTGTTGGAGAAGACTCTTGAGAGTCCCTTGGACTGCAAGGAGATCCAATCAGTCCATGCTAAAGTAGATCAGTTCTGAGTGTTCATTGGAAGGACTGATGCTGAAGCTGAAACTCCAATACTTTGGCCACCTGATGTGAAGAGCTGACTCATTGGAAAAGACCCTGATGCTAGGAGGGATTGGGGGCAGGAGGAGAAGGGGACGACAGAGGATGAGATGGCTGGATGGCATCACTGACTCGATGGACATAAGTTTGAGTAAACTCCGGGAGTTGGTGATGGACAGGGAGGCCTGGTGTGCTGCGATTCATGGGGTCGCAAAGAGTCGGACACAACTGAGTGACTGAACTGAACTGAGCTGAACTAGCCACATATGGCTATTTAAATTAATTACATTAAAAATAATTAAAAATTCAGTTCTTCAGTTATAATAACAACATTTTAACAATTCAGTAATCACATGTGTTTAGTGGAAATTGTATTGAACAGCATACATACCAACCCTGTCATCACAAAAAGTTCTGCTGGTCAATGCTATACTTGAGCTCATGCTTAAGGGGCTAGGAATGATTTGAAAGAAAGAAAGAGAGGTAACCCCTTGAGAAGAAAAATCAGATGAACAAGTCCAAAGGACTTGGACACATCTAAGACACCTGGAGTACCTTAGATGACTTAAAAGTCCTAGAGAGGAAGATGTTCATTTGTAACAGGAATAACAAGAAGAGTAGAGTTGCAGGAAGATTTGAAGGTAGGCCTTCCTGTCTGATAACTTTCTTTTTCTTGTAATGAAAGGGCAATGTTACCTGAGGGGAAGGGGAAGGGACTAGGATATCTGAAGAGAGAAAAGGTATGAAATAGACATCTTTGATAGTGGAAAATGTGTTTTTCTAAAGAAAACTAATCAATAGGACTTCTGGGAAGTATTAAGTGCTCAATTGGTTTTTGAGATCATGGATTTAAGATCATTAAAGATATTAGACTATTCAGGTACAGGGAGAGAGAAGGGCAGGGAAACAGTTGGGCTAATCCAGAATTGGGGTTTTTCCAGGCAAGTAAAATAGAGAGAGAGAAGTCTAAGGGAGTGTTTGCAAGAGAATGTTTGTGATGGTTTATGCAGAATCAAGGACTATCCTGGTAGCTCAGATGGTGAAGAATCTCCCTGCAATGCAGGAGACCCTGGATCAATTCCTGGGTCACAAAGTTCCCCTGGAGAAGTGATAGGCTACCCACTCCAGTAATTCTTACCTGGAGAATCGCCATGGACAGAGGAGCCTGGCAGGCTACAGTCCATGGGGTCATAAAGAGTTGGATATGACTGAGCGACTGCACCAGTACAGCACATGCAGAATCAAAATCAGGCAGTAAAGCAAATGGTGGCATGTGAGGGCTAACAGTGGACAGGTGGAGGGGAGCCGGGGTGGGGGTGGGGGTCAAGATATTAGAAGTACTGATGTCCAAGGATGGTGGCAGTAGAGAACCTGAGCACACGAGCTGGTGATCTGAGTGGGATGTGTGGAACTGAAGTATCAGAGGTTGTGAGTTTCTGCTGCTGCTGAGATCTGGGATGAGCCCAGGGGAGTGGAAGACTGAAGCAGATATACACCCTGTTATTAGAACTGAGAGGCCAGGGTGTTCAATTTATCATCCAGGTAGAAGTTTAAGTGAGATAGTAGTGGCGTGAAGAGAGACTGCAGGAGTGAAACTAAGTTGTTGAGGGCAGAGTGCCAGGAAGGGATACAGACAGGAGGGGAGGGTGGTGGCACCGCCTTCTGTCACTACCACCACTCTCCTTCTCCGTATAAACCTTTTCCTCTTCTCTCACACACTGTTTTTGGCCTCTTTTCATCTTTTCCCCCATCTCCTCCACTTTTTTTTGTTTTTTGTTTATTTATTTCCAATCCTCCTCCCCTTCTTTTCCCATTTCTGACTTACTCCCCTTCTCCCCATCTACTTCTCTTTTCCATTTCTTCTCCCCACCCTCTTTCTTTGCCTCTCTAATCCCTTCTCCCTTCAGTCCCTTGTTTTCCCCTTGTTTATTGAGCCCTCTCCTAGTTACTATCTTATTGATTTAATGACACAGATGTTACTACTATATTCATTTTGCAAATGAAACCAAAGCCAAAAGTTGTCTGAAGACAGTGGGCCAGTAAGCAGCAGGAGCTGGAATTCAGCTTGATGTTTTTGTTGTTGTTGCTATAGAGTCAGCATCATCTCCTTTAAAAGCAGAGAACATCAAGGCTGAAAGGAACGGTAGATTTCCTAAGTCCAAAGTCTTCATGTTACCACATGGTGACAGGTAACAAAGTAAGTTCCTGGTCTAAGATCTTTTCCCACTTAGTACAGTAAATATTAGGACTCAAGGAGGATTACTAGGCAAGGGCATCTAACTTAGAATAGGGAGACCTAAGTTTAAGTCTCTATGCTACCAATAAGTCACTGTAACCTTAGGAAACTCTGGCTAATCTTGGAACTTCAGTTTTTCATCTTTCAACTAGGAAATGAAGAGAAGGGTGAAATGAAAGCCTTGGTATAGATGACCTCAAATCACCCTACTGTGTTTAGTTTTTTGATGAGAAGAAGGACAGTTATCCAGTTGTTGCTGCTGTGCCTCTTGAAGGTATGTCCTAGTACTTAGCACAGGGATCTGCGAACTTTTTCTGTAAAGAGCCAGACAATAAATATTTCAGGTTTTGGGGGGCATACCATCTCCATTCAGCTACACAACTTTGCCATTATAGTAAAAAGCAGCCTCAGATCGTACATAAACAAATGAATGTGATAATGTTTCAAAAAACTTTTTTTATGGACACTGAAATTTGAGTTTCATATAATTTGCACCTCTCTCAAAATGTTATTCTCTCATTTTTTAAAATCCATTAAAAATGCAAAAACCACTGCTAGCATGTATGTCTATACCAAAACAGGTGCCCACAGCCTATAGTTGCTGCCCTCTGGCCTGGCAGAATACCTGGTGGTAAAAGTCCAATTCAAGCTCAGAGGAGGTCTCCCAATCTTCCACCTGCCAGGGAGGAGGGTGTAGGATATATGTCAGCTGAAAATAAGAATGACTGGTCATATTATTAAGAGGTAGTAGGAGAACAAAAAAAGGCCATATTGGAGCAAATGTGCCTCTTTTCCTTTGGGCATGACTTTTCTCTATCTCATCTGGTATAATTGCCAGAGTTGAAAGATGTTAAAGGGATGGGATCTGTGGAAGAGGGTCTAGAAGGCTATTCTTTGGTTTTTGATGAAGGCCTGTGCCCTTCATGTTAGGAAAGAGAAAGAAAGATAATGTTTCTAGCTCTCATGATAGAGACCACCAGAACTAAGGATTCCACATAGGAAGGAGTCTAGGTGCAAAACTTCATTGTATACTTATAGCGATTTGTAGTAACTTTTCTCTCTTTGACTCCCTGGAGAATTTGACTACAAGGGCTCAGTACTTAGTATCTTGCACCTCGCCTATCTCCTGCCAACCATGTTAGGCAACTAAGGAAAATTAACTAAAGAAGAAAGATATTAAAAAAGTGAAACCTCAATACCCATCTCTACCAAGGGTTTTCCATAAAGAACAAGGCTAAGCAGAAAACAATTTATTATTTGTTGTCTCTTTGGGCCTACT